TCTCCAACAATACCCTGGGGGGGGGGGGTTGATTGTTGTGCCATATCCGGCCCTCCATGGCGGGCTTTGTGCCCCTCGCCCTCCACCCCCGTGCCAGCGCCCCCTCCCCCCTCTCCCTCCACCACATTTCCGCTCGACCCATCACCTTTTTACTTGCACAGAACACATTACCGGCTGCACGCTACGTACCACCACACACATCTGTACACACATGTATATCTATACGTATACAACCCGTTCTCCCACTTGCTTATAGTCATATGTGAGATCATATGTGACATACTAATTTATTGTGAATATTTGAGTTTATCTTGAAAAGCCGAATAGAAAACACCGACCTAACCTAACCTTCTTAGTATGTTAAGATATTACAGTTAGTAGTGAACCTATACATATATTGATATTAAATTTTTATAAAATAAAACGAAACTAAAATATTTAAATAAATTGTAAAGTAACTCAGGATATTGTCAAATTTTGTATAAAATCTCTATTGTTTAATAAAACTGAGAGGAAGAGTAAGTGCCCTGAAAAAAAATGGCTTGGAATGTCACATATATACTTATTTATAAGCCAAATAGTGACTATAAGCAATAAGTCATATGTGCCGTCTTGTGCGAGAGCGGGTTGACGTATACACACATCTGGCCTGAAAAATGATTGTTGTTGTTATAGATTCAGCTACTCTGAACAAGTTCCAAGTAGCACGGGCTATGGTGAGCCCGTAACTTACCTGGCACAGGAGCAGTGCTGTGAATTAAAAGTGAAAAATGGGTTTATGCCTTGTTTTATAACACACACTGAACTGAAATATCCCAAGAATATAACCGCCGGTATACCTCAATATATCCCATCAGTAACAGACCTAAGAAGAGTGGGGTCTAGCTCCTGGACCTCCCCCATACCCTTCACAGGATGGGTTTGGCCTGCATAACAGCTTGGGTATATTATGGTGGGAAATAAAGGAGTTGTCAGTAATGTGGGCTGGAACCCGGGGGTCGAACCGGGGGGCCGGCTGTGTCGGCTTTCTTCCCACACCCGACAAAAACAGCTTTTCAGTTACAGGACAACTGCTGCTACCTGCTACTGGCGGCCACGCGGTGGAGGGAGGTGGTGGTGGAAAGGGGTGAAGAGGGGGGGGGTTATGGACGAGGTGGAGTGGGAGGGGGGGATGTTATCTTGAGGTTATCTTGAGATGATTTCGGGGCTTGGCGTCCCCGCGGCCCGGTCCTCGACCAGGCCTCCTTTTTGTTACACATCCCCAGGAAGCAGCCCGTAGCAGCTGTCTAACTCTCAGGTACCTATTTACTGCTAACAGGGGCATCAGGGTGAAAAACATTTTGCCGATTTGTCTCCGCTTCCACTGGGGATCGAACCCGGAAACTCAGGACTACGAATCCGAAGCGCTGTCCACTCAGCTGTCAGGCGCTCCGCAGGTGTGTGCACAAGTGCACCATGTTACTGTGTTGCCTTAAGAAACCTCGACTACTCACTGGTGCTTCCAGCAACAGCCTATCAGATCAAACTATGGCAAGTCTGGTCGGTCTTAAGAAGTAGAACTCTGGAAACTAACAGGTAAATTACAGGTACTCATCATCTAGATGTAACCCAAGTAACAACCTTCCCATTTCCCTTCCCAGACCCCAGTAAGTAGTAGTATTAAGGTAACCCCACAAGCGATACAGTAAAGTGATTCTCGTATTACGGGGTTATTCATGCCCGTGCCGCCTCATGGCTAGCTCTATCTTCATCACCCAATAGACGCAGGTGTGTTACCCCCCCCCCCCCCCCTTTCCACAAACTGATGGAAGGGGGAGGAGGAAGGTAAGGGGGGAAAGGTAAGGGTGAAAGGCAGCATGGCGCCCACCCCAGCATCGTAGCTGCAGCCTTGGACCCTCTTAAGTACCAGGAAGCCATGGCAGCTTAACCATCGTATCTTTACTCCCCCGTGCTTACTCTCTCTCCCTCCTCTCCTCTCCCAGCCCCACTACTCTCCCCCTCTCCCAGGCCTCCACCACCCCTCACCCCTACGGACATAAATTTATTATTGCCCCAGTTAATTATTGATATTGAAATTATAATCTGTGTACGTGTACGTATGGGGGAGTATGGGGAAGTGTGCGCGTGTGGGGGTAGGGGGTGAATAAGGGGGGGAAGGGTGTGCACGAGTGCGCGCACGTGCGTGCGTCCCCGCTCTCAGCAACCAGCTCTAAGCTTCAGGTGAAAGGTTACACAACCTCGGGGCAAGTGCCTGGACGGGGCCGGCACCGGCTCCTGCTTGGGAGAGGTTCAGGTGCACACCCAAGAGCCACTCACGGCTCCGACACCCCGCCTCCCATACCTGTACACCCCCGTGGCCCCTTACCTTGAGATAGTACCGGGGCTTCGCGTCCCCGCGGCCCGGTCCTCGACCAGGCCTCCTGGTTGCTGGATTAGTCAACCAGGCTGTTGGACGCGGCTGCTCGCAGCCTGACGTATGAGTCACAGCTTAGTTGATCAGGTATCCTTTGGAGGTGTTTGTCAAGTTCTCTCTTGAACACTGAGGGGTTTGCCAGTTATGTCCCTTATGTGTAGTGGAAGCGTGTTGAACAGTCTCGGGCCTCTGATGTTGATAGTTCTCTCTCAGAGTACCTGTTGCACCTCTGCTTTTCAACGGGGTATTCTGCACATCTTGCCATGACTCCTGGTCTCATGTGATGTTATTTCTGTGTGCAGGTTTGGGACCAGCCCCTCTAATATTTTCCACGTATAGATTATTATGTATCTCTCTCGCCTGCGCTCAAGGGAGTACAGATTTAGGCTCTTTAGTCGGTCCCAGTAGTTTAGATGTTTTACCGAGTGGATTCTAGCAGTAAAGGATCTCTGCACGCTCTCCAGGTCAGCAATTTCTCCAGCTTTGAAAGGGGCTGTCATTGTGCAGCAGTACTCCACTCTAGAGAGCACAAGCGTTTTGAAAAGTATCATCATCGGTATAGCATCTCTAGTGTGAAAAGTTCTTGTTATCCAACCTGTCATTTTTCTTGCAGTTGTGACGGCTACTTTATTGTGTTCTTTAAAGGTAAGGTCTTCCGACATGAGTACACCCAGATCCTTTACATTGCCTTTTCGTTCTATGTTATGATTTGCCTGAGTTTTGTACGTGGTTTCTGTTTTTATATTTTCATTTTTTCCGTAGCGCATGAGCTGGAACTTATCCTCGTTAAACACCATATTATTTTCTGTAGCCCATAGAAAGACCTGATTTACATCTGATTGGAGGTTTGCCGTGTCCTCTATGTTGCCAACTCTCATGAAGATCCTAGTGTCATCTGCAAAGGATGATACAGTACTATAGGTTATGTCCTTGTCTGTCTGATATGAGGATGAGAAAAAGTACTGGAGCAAGCACAGTACCCTGGGGGACTGAGCTCTTCACGGTTGATGGGCTGGATTTTATTTTGTTGACTATTACACATTGGGTTCTGTTAGTCAGGAAATTGTAGATCCATCTGCCTATTTTCCCGGTAATTCCTTTTGAACGCATTTTATGTGCAATAACACCATGGTCACATTTATCAAAAGCTTTTGCGAAATCTGTAAATTACATCAGCGTTTTGTTTGTCTTCCATAGCATCTAATGCCATATCATAGTGGTCCAGCAACTGCGACAGGCAAGAGCGCCCTGTTCTGAAACCATGTTGTCCGGGGTTATGGAGATGCGGTGTTTGCCATGTATTTTGAGATCTTACTTCTTGGCACTCTTAAGATTGTTATGATGTGCGATGTTAGTGCTATCGGTCTGTAATTTTTTGCCTCTGCCTTATTTCCTCTTTCATGAAGTGGTGCTACCTCTGCTGTTTTTAGTATGTCAGGGATAACGCCAGTATCTTGGCTTCGTCTCCATAGAATGTGAAGGGCCTGCGATAGTGGTTTTCTACAGTTCTTGATGAACTGACAAGACCCGAGCAGCGCCACCTGTGTAGCCAACACTTAACATGACACACTACTCGTGGTGTCGTTGACCGCCACCAGAGCGCTCCACTAACGGCTCTCGCACACTTTTATTAACCAAAAAAAAAAAAAAATCTTAAAATATTTAAAGTCATCCGATCAAAAAATTACATCGGTGGGAAACAAACCATTTTGTGTTTGTTTTGCATGTATCTTGCTTAGTGTACTCGCCTCGTTGTGCCTGCGGGGGTTGAGCTTTAGCTCTTTGGTCCGGCCTCTCAACCGTAGGAGTACGTGGGTGCAAGACCAGACTGAAGTAGGCCTACTGACCAATGCTAGACGAAGTGGAAGGCCCTATATTTATTCTTGGGCAGGATGATGCCACAATTCAAAAACCACTAATTATTAAACCAAATAAGTAATTTAGAAAATTCGTTAATTATTAGATTAACGAATTTTAATTTTCCTAATACGTAACAATAGCCAGTGTGTCATTCATTCGTTATTTGAGATTAACACAATTCAGTTATCTTTAATAATACGTTAATAATAATCACATTAATCTAATATATCACATTAACCTGATACATCAAAGAAGAAATCCACAGGAGCCTTTATCAGGGTTCGAACCTATGGTGACTAGTGACACTCCGATCCTGTGGACCAACGACGTCACCTGACGTTCGGCGCACTCTAAGGGTTATGACCATATATATATATATATATATATATATATATATATATATATATATATATATATATATATATATATATATATATATATATATATATATATATATATATATATATATATATATATATATATATATATATATATATATATATATATATATATATATATATATATATATATATATATATATATATATATATATATATATATATATATATATATATATATATATATAAATAAATATATATATATATATATATATATATATATATATATATATATATATATATCTGATTTGAGGTGTATATAAAAAATTACTGGTGTGTTGCGGCTTGTAGAGCTCCTTAACAGTTATACAAACACCTGCGTTAACTACCTGGAAACTGTTGAGGTTGTGGGTAATAGATGCGTCATTGTGCAGGGGAAAATGATGGTGCTGAAGGATCTCTTCCTCATTGTGGTTGTAGACCAAGTCATTTGTGTGGGCGTGGTTGTCGTGGGCGTGGTTGTGGTGGGCGTGGTTGTCGTGGTGGTCGTCTGGGAGGTGTTCGTGGATGCCCAGCTCCAGACGACTCTCATGGTGCCACGAGTGGCATAGAGGATGCGATTTACGGCGTTCTATGCACGTCCATACCCGTACCCACCCACACCCGCACTCCCAGAGTCCTTCCTCGTCCTCGCCCTTCTCCTCGTGGGCGTACCAATTGCACGTGATGCACTGCACTGCCCGCCACGCCCACGCGCGGTACATACTGCCCGCGCCCGCACGCCCACCATGCCCGCCTACCCACCACACGGGCAGGACGGGGCTCCACACTCAAGGTGTTCCAGTCTCTCCAAAGCTGGTCAGGAAGCTGGCATGTTGTCCTCACTCTCCGCCAGGTGGCAGGTGGACCAGATGTCAACACAACACATCAATCACACAAGCGTCTCTCTTTACCAAACTGTCATGACGAAATCATCAGATTCACGTAACTGTTTATGAAGATGTTTGGAATAGCAATAAACAATCACTCACTATAATAGGGAGGGGGGGGGGGGAAGGCCCTAAGAATAGGATATATCTATCTTTTTCAACGTCCTCCCAGCGAGCATAAGAAATATTGCCGGAACAACCTTGGATATCTTCCAGAGGAAACTGGACCGTTTACTCCAAGGAGTGCCGGACCAACCGGACTGTGGTGGCCCTGCGGGCCGCTCCAAGCAACAGCCTGGTGGACCAAACTCTCACAAGTCAAGCCTGGCCTCGGGCCGCTCCAAGCAACAGCCTGGTGGACCAAACTCTCACAAGTCAAGCCTGGCCTCGGGCCGCTCCAAGCAACAGCCTGGTGGACCAAACTCTCACAAGTCAAGCCTGGCCTCGGGCCGGGCTTAGGGAGTAGAACAACTCCCAGAACCCCATCAACCAGGTATCCCGCAGGTGCTACAGGTCAGGGGTCATCACCCAACCACACACAGGAGGTAGCAAAGCACTGGCAAAAATTAGACCACAGGCAGTAACAGTAGACACTATTATCGTCTCAAAGGGACCTTACAAGCCAACTTGGTCGCTCGGTAGGACGGCCTATTGACACAGCTCGAGTGCATGGGGGAAATTGTGTAAAATCCTGGTTTGTCTCTCTGAGAGGGTGCAGGATCTAAGTAAGCTCACTAGAACTTCTAGCTACAATTCTTTTGACCATGTCGTAGCTCAGTCGATTAAGGCAGCGTCTGGTTGATGCTCTCGGACGTAGGTTCGAATCCTCGTCACGGCCCTTGTGGATTTGTCCAACTTGGGTCGTTTCACGAAGCTATACAACGCAGATAAACCTCGTTTAAGACCAGGACAACGTTGCATGTCACAAATACCTGACCATCACTACACACCTACGGAGCCATTATTACCAAACCAAGATGCAGACGAGACACAGATTTAGCACAAGATTTTGGTAGATGTGATAGTGAACAACCATAAAATAAGAAGCAAAGGAAATAACAGGTAAGTGGTATTAATTTAAAGTGTCTTAACATAATAAGGAGTGGGAGCAACACATTCCATCCTGACCTTAGTCACACTAGGTCACTCCCCAGCCCGTTCTCCTAAGCTTCCCCAACGTCAAGAAACTGTCGTACTAAAATTCCTCTATCCTAACCTGCCAGAGGACCCAAACAGAAAACGGGACAGTGTGCCAATTTCGCCAGCCGCTACCATTTTCTAGTGCGACAGTTTTTGCCCTCAAGAATGCGTCAAAATGCGACGCTCTATTATGACAGGTTGCACTGACAACCGAAATTCAAATTGCCTTCAAATGTGACAAACTCCAAAAACTCTGGTATGGAAATACTGAACCGAGTAGAGGCTAGACTAATACAGACGAGGAGTCACAATAACGTGGCTGAAATATGTTGACCAGATCACACACTAGAAGGTGAAGGGACGACGACGTTTCGGTCCGTCCTGGACCATTCTCAAGTCGGAATTATTGACTTACTGAAGCATGCGACCAGGCCCGAAGATCTTGCAACATCAGAAAACCTCCTGTTTAGAGCTCAACAACAAACATTGCAACAGATCGGAATGTTGGTCCTAGTCTTCAAGATAGGGAGAGATAGTAGTGAGAAAATACTCTTAGATCCATTACCACCCGCACTGAATCACCACTACACACACAGATCACACTAACGTGATGCATCAAATGAACAAATCCACAAGGGCCGTGACGAGGATTCGAACCTGCGGCCGGGAGCATCCCAGACACTGCACTGTCGTAGCTCAGTCGATTAAGGCAGTTAAGATTAAGGGACGCAGGTTCGAATCCTCGTCACGGCCCTTGTGGATTTATTCACTTAAACCACAGCCACCACCTGAAAGCACTCAAGTTAAACCCCTCGAAACAGAGACTTTAGATTTAGAGAGGCGATTTAGAGAGTATACATCACACTATACACATGGGAAATACACTTTACCCAACTAATACCAAGGGGAAAATGGGTGCCAAACTTACACAATACAAATTACGACACACTAAAGCGAGATGTGTTAGAACGATTGTATTAAATCAGATGCTCCGAGGTGCCAACCGTGCTACAAGTGTGATCACACAGGTGCCAACCGTGCCACAAGTGTGATCACACAGGTGCCAACCGTGCCACAAGTGTGATCACACAGGTGCCAACCGTGCCACAAGTGTGATCACACAGGTGCCAACCGTGCCACAAGTGTGATCACACAGGTGCCAACCGTGCTACAAGTGTGATCACACAGGTGCCAACCGTGCTACAAGTGTGATCACATAGGTGCCAACCGTGCTACAAGTGTGATCACACAGGTGCCAACCGTGCTACAAGTGTGATCACACAGGTGCCAACCGTGCTACAAGTGTGATCACAGAGGTGCCAACCGTGCCACAAGTGTAACTAGAACAGTTAACGGAAGCTTTCAAGCACAAACTTTACAAGTTTGTGCTCGAGTTACTGGATCAACCTGGCTGTTGTGGCTATGTTAGCTGTGAACAACGAGCCTCACAGACCAAACAGTCGCCAGAGAAGGTTGCCAGCAGGTCAGGCCGCGATACAACTCTCGAATTCAACACATCTTGAGCCAATGTTCTCACTGCTGCCTAAGAAAACTGCTGCCGGGGTGTACAGCAGACCTCAAGCAATTATCTCACTTCGGTAAAGGTAAAAATCACAATGGAATGGAAGATAGTAACTGTGGTTTCTATATTCAAGGGAAGGGACAAGTAAGAGGCCCTTAACTACAGACCAGAGGTCAGATTCACGAAAGCACTTACGAAAGCACTTACGAACGTGTACATCTTTCCTCAATCTTTGACGGCTTTGGTTACATTTATTAAACAGTTTACAAGCATGAAAACTTGCCAATCAACTGTTGTTATTGTTATAAACAGCCTCCTGGTGCTTCGGAGCTCATTAACTGTTTAATAAGTGTAAACAAAGCCGCCAAAGATTGAGAAAAGATGTACAGGTTCGTAAGTGCTTTCGTGAATCTAGCCCCAGCATCCCAGGCAGGATATCAAGATATCGTCACGAGATCAGAGAACCAGGGCACAAGTTATCTTGAGATTCTTGAGGTTATCTCGAGACGATTTCGGGGCTTTAGTGTCCCCGCGGCCCGGTCCTCGACCAGGCCTCCACCCCCAGGAAGCAGCCCGTGACAGCTGACTAACACCCAAGTACCTATTTTACTGCTAGGTAACAGGGGCATGGGGTGAAAGAAACTCTGCCCATTGTTTCTCGCCGGTGCCCGGGATCGAACCCAGCACCACAGGATCACGAGTCAAGTGTGCTGACCGCTCGGCCGACCGGCTCCCGGCCTCGTCTCGAGACACCACCAGGGCCTCACAGATGACCAGGCCTACCCAAGTCTACACGCGGTTAATGACAAGGCAACACTGATAAAGCAGGAAGAGGCAGAGTGCGACTTCTTGAATTGCCAACAAAATCTGATAAGAGTAACAACCCAACACGAACTAAAGCGGCAAACAGGGGTAACCGGGATGAAGCTACAGGAAATACAAAATACTCATTGATAGAGGATTGCAGAGAAAGTTGACCAGACCACACACTAGAAGGTGAAGGGACGACGACGTTTCGGTCCGTCCTGGACTATTCTCAAGTCAATCTACTTGAGAATGGTCCAGGACGGAGCGAAACGTCGACGTCCCTTCACCTTCTAGTGTGTGGTGTGGTTAACATTCTTCAGCCCCGTTATTGTGACTCGTTGCCTGCACTTGCAGAGAAAGGGAAGCCTGTCGAGGAGAAACACAAAGTCTGCTGCTCTGTCCCGAAGTCCTGAGGTAGCTTCAGGTAGAAGCACGTCAGGGGGCCGGACTCGAACTCTCGAAACGCTCTTCAGGTATGTTCTCCAGGAGACCTCAGAGTGGTAGAAGGTAACAAGTGGAGCGCCACAGGGGTCAGTACTTGCCCCTGTACCATTAGTGGAAATTATCTTGCCTCATCCCATATAGGACATACAATTCCTTATAAAGAACATTATTTTATATATATATATATAATGTCGTACCTAGTAGCCAGAACTCACTTTTCAGCCTACAATGCAAGGCCCGATTTGCCTAATAAGCCAAGTTTTCCTGAATTAATATATTTTCTCTAATTTTTTTCTTATGAAATGATAAAGCCACCCATTTCATTATGTATGAGGTCAATTTGTTTTTATTGGAGTTAAAATTAACGTAGATATATGACCGAACCTAACCAACCCTACCTAACCTAACCTAACCTCTCTTTATAGGTTAGGTTAGGTTAGGTAGCTGAAAAAGTTAGGTTAGGTTAGGATAGGTAGGTTAGGTAGTCGAAAAACAATTATTTCATGAAAAGTTGGCTTATTAGGCAAATCGGGCCTTGCATAGTAGGCTGAGAAGTGCGTTCTGGCTACTAGGTACGACATTATATATATATATATATATATATATATATATATATATATATATATATATATATATATATATATATATATATATATATATATATATATATATATATATATATATATATATATATATATATATATATATATATATATATTATATATATATATGAACTTTGTTATTAATGTGTATGAATTATACACAATTAAAGTCCCCAACGCACGAGGAAGTGTTGGGAAAATCTTCCTAAGCTTCAGGCATGATGGGAGAAATGGGTATTAGACTTCAAACCAAACAAATGCAACAAAATGAAAACTTGGGAGGGAGCAAGAAAACTCAAGGGAATGCAATGTTTAGCAATGATTCCCTGCAACTGCCAAAAAGGGACCTGCCAGTTTACAGAACTTCTTGTACGAGAGCCTGGCACCAAAGGCTCGCATAAATAACATCAACATGATGGGAAACCGACAAAAGTAATTAGTCAGGAACCCAAGGTGACGGAAGTCAATAAGAATGCTGTTAGAAGAACATCTGCACATATCATTGTAAGACCGTGCGACACAGCTCATGGCAACAGTAAGGAGGCGAACCGTGTACTTCTCGTCTGAAGGACTTCACCAGTAGACTAGACTACCTAGTTCAAGTTATCACAAGTCGAGCCTGGTCTCAGACTGAGCTCAGGGAATACAAGAACTCCCAAGATCCTCTCCGGGTAGTGCAGAAAGTGGAGAAAAAGGCAGGAGTGAGAGGGCGCTCCTGCGGGTACCACATTGGTACACACACCCTCCTCAAGCAGTTTTAATTGCATCTACGACAATCAAGAAACGCCATGGAACCCATATCCTACACCACTAACTGTTGAAAGGCGGGACCCAAGAGCTATAGCGCAACCCCAAGGGGCTAGAAATAGCCTAAGCTACTCTATCCCTTTGAGATGTATTATTTTTTGTCTCGATAAGTAAACTTGAACTCATCCCGAAGGCGAGTACCAGGACTGCAGGGGTTGAACTATGAGGAAAGGCTGAGGATTATAAGAAGATATGAGACATGATCACGACATAAAACACCCTAAGGTTAATAAAATGTTCAGTACACGGCTGGGTGGAACAGAGGATATGGATAGATACATCAGGATGGTAGAGCAGTGTTAGTGAACAATTCTAAGGGACCAGGAGATAATAGAATAATTCATTAACCTCTTTCAAAATTAGATATGACAGGAGTGACCAGTCATTGAATTACACAACCAACAGAGGAGCACGCGCGCGTACCGAGTGCATTAATCAAAGAACGCCCTGAAGGCGGGGCTAGGAGCTAAACTCGACCCTACACGGACACACACATCCTATTATACAAGTAGATATGATAGAAAAATAGGTCAGGATTCACTGCATTAGACCACCGGCTACTAGAAAGGCGACGTCCAAGAGCTAAAGCTCGATCCTGAAGGTACAAATAGAGGTGAGCACGCGTCCCCCCCCCCCACACACACACTAAGTGAACACCAGTTGATTGAGAGTTGAGCGGCGGGACCAAAGAGCCGAAGCTCAACCCCCGTGCCAGTACAAGTAGAGGAGTGGAGGTAGGCGAGTGTAGAGCCAGCGTCAACAGGATGCTACACCACAGTGTCCGCCCCACCACCACCAGCGTGGCTATGGGGCAGGGGTGAGGGCCGTGCTCTCTTCACTATTATTTTATTGACATTTGTGCCACAAAACAGCTTCAGGAAGGAAGAGTTGGTTGTGTGTTTTAGCAGGATGGTGACACGAAGCTGTAGATACTACTACACTCCTCTTTACACCTGTACACGGCCTGCCCCCCCCCCCCACATACACACCCTGCCTATCAACCACCACACAACACAACACAACACACACACACACACACACACACACACACACACACACACACACACACACACACACACACACACACACACACACACACACACACCCCCTGTCTCACAAACACGGTCATAAAGAAGCCCGTTTTCTTAAATTACCACAACAGAAAGTACTCTAGGGGGTACTAAAACCCAAGACACCCTCTTAAGCTAATCAACCGCTCTAGAGCTACACTACACAGTACTTCCCACTGATTTTCCCCACAAATGGCTACCTTCCCGTTAAAAGTATTAATTACCCCACACATACCTATCCCAGAGGTGGCCCTAAGATGACCTATTATTAAACATTTTCACAAGAACTATCCATTCCTTATCTGCCAACATGTGCTAGGATGCATCCTTGCATAGTCAACATGACAGTCGGGGGAGTAACTTTTGTATCTTAGCTTTAAACTATCCCCGAGCTCTTAATGAGGTGGTATCTGCTGTTAAATATATATACATGGTTAAATATATATACATATGAAGTTTTGGTTCATAGTCTCCTGGTTCTTTAATGGCAGATCCGGGCCAGTGGGCTCCCTCCACACAACACACCCGTGACCGAGTGGCCTCAATACACAGCAGTGAACCTTCCTCCAAACCTCCAAGGACTCGTCCCTGTCATATCTAATGCCCCTCCCCCCCCCCTGCCACCCTCACCTACCTGTCACCCTCATGCATTCCACCCGTCAACTGTTATGACACACTCCTTCAACTGTCACTCGTGAATCTTCTGATCTTGGACCTTGTCATATGAATGATCATTGCAGGCAGGCAGGAACATATGCGCGCGCACACATTCCAAACCATATACACAACCTATGTTAGACCAATACTGGAATATGCAACACCAGCCTGGAATCCACACATAGTTAAGCATAAAACTGTTTAACAAGCTTAGTGCCAGAACTTTGAGATTTTAACAACTAGAAAGCTAAATCTCGCAACCCTAGAAGAGTAAAGAAACTGAGGAGACATGATCACTGCATACAAGATACTATGGAGAACAGAAGGTCCTGCCCGGGAGTGTACACTGCACGTGCGGTACAACCGTAAATATTTCCACCATTGTCTTTCCCAAACAAATGGACTGGACGCTGGAGCAACAAGCCATTTCCTGCACAGGTCAGCAAATTATCAAGCAAATTCTGCAGTCACAGCGCCCACTGCCTCTACGCCCGCACCCTAACACACCACCACAAGTTAAACAACCTGTACAACCTGCTGACCTGTACGTGTACACACACACACACACACACACACACACATATACAGTACGATACTCCAAGACGATTTTAATAAGCTGCAGAGATGGTCAGAGAAATGGCTACTGGAGTTCAACACGAGCATGTGTAAAGTTATGGAAATGGGACTGGGTGACAGGAAACCAAAGGGACATTACACAATGAAGGGGAACTGCCTTCCTGTGATTCGAGAAAGGGACCTGGGAGTGGACGTAACACCAAATCTAACTCCTGAGGCACAAATAAACCGGAAAGAGACAGCAGCGTAATCTACGCTAGCAAAAGTTAGAACGTCATTCAGAAACCTAAGTATGGAGGCATTCAGAGAGCTTTACACCGCCTATCTTGAGGTTATCTTGAGATGATTTCGGTGCTTTTTAGTGTCCCCGCGGCCCGGTCTTCGACCAGGCCTCCACCCCCAGGAAGCAGCCCGTGACAGCTGACTAACACCCAGGTACCTATTTTACTGCTAGGTAACAGGGGCATAGGGTAAAAAAACTTTGCCCATTGTTTCTTGCCGGCGCCTGGGATCGAACCCAGGACCACAGGATCACAAGTCCAGCGTGCTGTCTCCCCGGCCGACCGGCCTACGTGAGACCAGTTTTATAGTATGCAGCCCCATCATGGAGCCCCACCTGAAGAAACACATTAGCAAACTGAAAAAGGTTAAAAAATTTGCGACGAGGCTAGTCCCGGAATTGCATAGGATGGGATATGAAGAGCGCCTGAAGGAACTAAACCTGCCAACGTTAGAAAAAAAAGGAGGGAACAACGAGATATGATAGCAGCATACAAAATACTTAGGGAGAACTGAAATAAACAATATGTTCACACGGAATACCAACAGAACTTGGGGACATGGGGGGGGAGGGAGGGAATTATCAGGAGAAAGCGCCAAGCCATTACGACTATATAGCACTTGGAAGTAATTAGGACATGGGTGGAAGCTGGAAACTCAGACGAACCATACGTTAGAGTTTTCTTTAAGCGTGAGAGTAGTGGGGAAAAGGAATAAACTAAAGTAGCATATTGTGGAAGCAAACCACTATTCATAGCTTTAAAACAAGGAATGATAGAGAAGTAGGTCATCGCTTTAAACAACCGAAGGCTAGAAAGGCGGGGCCCAAGAGCTAATAGCTCGATTCTGACGATACAAATAGTACACACGCACACGCAGTTATCCTTTATTATGTTACAAGAATGTCGTTACATTCAAGAGATACAACAATAGTTGTTACAAGAATGTAACAACTCTTGTATACATCTCAAAAAAAAAAAAAAATTATGACACTCCCCCCACCCATCCTGGCTCCGTGTCGGGGCATAATATTGCCAGCAGGGACCGCTGCCTTCACTACAACCACCACCACCATCCCTCTCCTCGATCAACACTGATCCTCTAAACTGTTTGTGTTTCTGGTTACGAGGGTCGGGAGGAAGTACACAAACACCCAGCACGATGGTGTGTATGTCAGTCCTGGCTATCATCACACAGGGAGGTGCTATCGTGCTCAGAGAGGTCTGGGGGATATCAGTCAACAGCTTGTGTCACACACACGAGAAGTGAGTGCCGGCGTGCGTGCTGGTACTGCTTCACTGTTTATCGCATCTGCGGCCTAATACTTTGATAGGCCTGGGAGCACGCGTCAACACGTCCTTCCCCCACCACGGATCAGCTGATACTGAAGCTAAGGACGGTTACACCGACAATCATTGCCACATTTTACGCGCGCAAATATCCACACATGTGTACGCGCTCTCAACTCCATGTACGTGCTTTATGGTACATTTAATCAATGGTCATTAACTATTAACAACAAAAGATAATTTAGGCTGCAAGGTTGTTCCGGGGCAATAAGATAATGTATCAAAAGCAATAGCTGGCGACCCACACTAGGCGGCTTCCGTGACGTCACTCGTGACGTCCAACGGGCAGCAGCCAATAGCAGCGCACTTCTCCAGCACCTCACTGACGCCACAACCAATCAACCAATCTGGCCGCAACACTTTCCGTGACGTAATAACGCAGTTACCACAGGGGGGAGGGGGGGGGAGATGATGAGTGTTGAATAAAGTGGAGTATAATCGGAAACTGCTTACACCGCAGACTTGGTCCCGGCAGAGGCAAGCAGAAACCGGTTACAACGGTGAAGGCAGAACATTGCGCGCACATCCGAGCTGCCTGTTCCGTGTTCGCAATTCGCGTTCGCGATCCGCGAATATTGTAACACCTCTTTAGGAACCTGTGGATACAAGAGCGGGGAACAAGAGCTGGAGCCATACCTGGCTAGGTACAGCCAGGTGAGCTCCTTATTTACAAGCACTGCGCTCCCATAGATCAAATGTAGATACGATAGAGCCCAATAGGCTCAGGAACCTGTGCACCATTTCATTGACAGTTTAGAGGCAGGACCAAAGAGCCGCAGCTCAACCCCCTGCAAGCACAACTAGGCGAGTACAAACACGTTAACACATACACCATCACTAACTTCCTTTCACAATATATAATTGTCACAGCTACACGCCCCATGCCCACGAGCACTGGCTGTAATCTACACATTATGCTCTGTATCACTATATTAAGGTATTTTAAGGCGCAGATTAAGGGACCTAACCTTCGGGTATTTTCCTTATCTACACTATCACTGGTCTCAACCCCTCGCCCTACATCCACCACCCTCATTGGAACACATCAGGTAATACAAACAAGCCAATTATTGTATCGGAAGTCATTAAACAGACGAGGCAGGGGGTTAGGGGGGGGGAGAAGGAAAGAGGGGGGGGAGGGAGATCACCCCGTGGAGGGTTGGGGGGGGGGGGGAGGGGAAAAAGACGGGGGGGGGCAAGGGAAAAGCAAGAGAAGGGAAGGGGTGAAAGTTAGGTAGAGAGTGTTGGGAAGATGATAGAGCAAAGAGGAAGGTGACACAGAGGAGGCTGGGCAGGTGATACTTGCGCGAGACCTGCTTCAAGAGGGTCTGGGAGTTTTTTTTTTTTTTTTTTTTTGGGAGTAAAGAGGAAGGAGAGGCATAGGTGAAGGGAAGTATAGAAGTGGGAAATACAGTGAGAGGTATGAAAGCAGGCGGGCTGTCCGCCTTGCTGACACGATGTGTGGGTGTTGGCAGCTAAGCTAAGCTGGCTCCCTCTTGTCAGGGAGCTGTGAGTGTGTGAGAGGTTCTTCACATGTGTTTCACCATATATGGATGTCCATAGATGAATACTGTGAAGCATTCATATATACACACTCCGATGCTTCCACACACGTTATTCTGTTTAATGCTCTTTATTTTATTATTATTATTTATCGAGTTGTCATACATATTATTTATCGAGTTGTTCATACACACACATATATGAACTGTTCATATATATACATATATAACTCATCTTTGGATTATATACTGTGGGGCGGGGTTTTCGTCCAGTTTCGTCCAGCTCTCGCACTCCCATAACTGGGAGTTGCAGGCGATTTTGAGAATGTTATCGCCTTGAGAATGGTCCAGGACGGACTGAAACGTCGTCGTCCCTTCACCTTCTAGTGTGTGGTCTGTTCTGAGAGTGCTTCTACTACTCCCCAAGCCCGGGAAGGGTGAGGTCGACCATCTTGGCTGGTGGCCTGTTTGTCTACGAGGTACAAGATCTAGCTCTATAGCCCCGCCTTTCATACCTATTATATTCATACCTCGCAGCGTTCCAATGCTGTACCACACGACAATTAGCGAGTACCAATACTCATATTTGGGATGGAAACAGCTGAGCAGCGAAGCTACGGAACCCAGGGTGAAAGTGACAAACACCGGTGAGAGATATTGAGCCCATCTTAGAGACAATATGTACACAATAACACATTTCCTAGCCCATATTGAGCTAGGAAAACAGTCAAATATTTATACTGTTCTTAATTTAAAATATTACCCCCCCCCTCCATCTTAACACCCGCAAGGTAACTAAAGTTTTGGAGTTGCCAAAGGTTAATGTGCTTGTTTGACAAGCACTTCATTTGAGACGGTTAAGCAAGTCCCAGCTGTGTCTGGGTACAAGTGACAGGATGGACAACCCAGCGGGTTTTCTTCCTATTGGGGAGTGTTGTACATGCTGCTATGGTGGTGTGACCACTCACAGGATGAGTGACGCTGCCCAATACTGTCACTATGGCGGTGTGTCCACTCACAAGATGAGTGACGCTGCCCAATACTGTCACTATGGCGGTGTGTCCACTCACAGGATGAGTGGCGCTGCCCAATACTGTCACTATGGCGGTGTGTCCACTCACAGGATGAGTGGCGCTGCCCAATAAACTCGCCCCTCGGGCAAAATTAAACTATGAAACTGTGAGTACCAACTTACCAGTCATTTTTGCAAACCTTAGCCCTCACGTCTGGCCAAATGCCCTCAACCTGTGAGAGAGACTTGCCCTAATCTCTCTCACCAGACCTCGTCACAGACCAGGCCAGACACACACTGATCCTAGGAGCCACCTCAAGGCAGCCACGTTTGCTTCCAGACTACATTGTTACGAACTGCAGGGAACGACTCGAGTTCCCCTTCACAAACTACCTCCAAACGACCTAAACTACCATGCGGGTCATTTCTCCAGTGGCGCAACGTCGCCAGCCAATGGGAGAGCGGGATGGTGGTGGCAACCCGAGGTCCAAGTGGCTGTTTAAGGCAGTCAATCCCTGCCTGATTCAGGGGTTAGGTCGACCTTATTGGTTAACCAGAACTAAGCTTTGGACTACACACACACTTAGGCTCATCAACTAAGTCCACTGCGGGTTCACCATACCCCGTGCTACTTGGAACTTTTTGTTCCAAGTAGCGAGTCTTGAAACAACATTTGGACTACATTAGGCGCTTCTGTAATGAGCTATTATCTCACGTTTAGCTTAAAAATCCATGTCAGGAGATAGCTAATAATACTATACTGATAATTTCATAATACTGACTATTTTGGTTGGTAGTAGAACTGTTAAGTGATTAGCTTAGAGCTATCTAAAGTAAGTGCTCACTACAGTTCACATAAGTTTACACATTAGTCTACTAATGACCCATCTACAGTCAGATTATCTTAACTTGTTGCACCTCTTAATTTAAGTCATTATTATTCTAGTTCATTTCTAGAGGTTACCTTGAGGTGTTTCGGGGCTTAGCGTCCCCGCGGCCCGGTCGTCGACTAGGCCTCCTGGTTGGTTGCTGGACTGCTCAACCAGGCTATTGGCAACCCGTTCTCGCACTTTCTTTAAGTCAATATTGACTTATTAAATAAGTGCATATGTGACATACTAATTTATTGTGAATATTTTAGTTTACCTTGAAAAGCTTCGTAGAAAACACCGACCTCACCTAACCTTCTTAGTATGTTAAGATAAGCATCTTATTGCTTCGAAATTACAATTATTACTTAACCTATTATAGGTATAGGTTAAGTAATAATTGTAATTACGAAGCAATAAAATGATTATCTTAACATACTAAGAAGGTTAGGTAAGGTCGGTGTTTTCTATGAAGCTTTTCAAGGTAAACTAAAATATTCACAATAAATTAGTATGTCACATATGCACGTATTTAATGTATTATTAGGGGTGTCCCTCCCCAATAGGAAGAAAACCCGCTGGGTTGTTCATCCTGTCACTTGTAATTGCTATAATCCATCACATCATCTTAACGAGTGTGTTAAACGAGACACTGGGCCAGGGAGGGCAGACTAACGTAACTAAACACCCAAATTAGAAGCACATGGGGTAGTTATGAGAAGGGGGACCCCCAACGAAGATTAACGAAGAAGTTACGCAAGCACTTACGAACCTGTACCCCACCAAGAGACATGAAGGAGAAGACTAGCTCTCCCAAGCTAATATAAATATAACACGATCAATGGTTACGTAGAAGGGTGTGCCCCCGAGAGCTAAAGCTCGACCCCGGTAGTCAGGTATACACAATTAGGGGAGTACAGACAGTAGGTCAGTAGCGAGAGGACACGTCGACAGCTTTCACTACTTGTTGTTGACGAGTGTTGGTGGTGACCCTGACCCCTAAACGTGCATTCGTGACCAGGGGCCAGATTCACGAAGCAGTTACGCAAGCACTTACGAACCTTGGGGGCCACATTCACGAAGCAGTTACGCAAGCACTTACTATCCTGGGGCCAGATTCACGGAGCAGTTACGCAAGCACTTACGAATCTGGGGCCAGATTCACGAAGCAGTTACGTAAGCACTTACGAATCTGGGGCCATATTCACGAAGCAGTTACGCAAGCACTTACGAACCTGTCCATCTTTTCTCAATCTTTGGCGGCTTTGTTTACAATTATTAAACATTTAATGAGCTCCGAAGCACCAGGAGGCTGTTTATAACAATAACAACAGTTGATTGGCAAGTTTTCATGCTTGTAAACTGTTTAAATAAATGTAACCAAAGCCGTCAAAGATTGAAGAAAGGCGTACACGTTCGCAAGTACTTGCGTAACTGCTTCGTGAATCTGGCCCCAGGTTCGTAAGTACTTGCGTAACTGCTTCGTGAATCTGGCCCCAGGTTCGTAAGTACTTGCGTAACTGCTTCGTGAATCTGGCCCCAGGTTCGTAAGTGCTTGCGTAACTGCTTCGTGAATCCTTCACACCCCTAAGTGGCAAGGAAGCCCAGGAACGACCCATTTGGTTATCTCAGATAACCCAAGGTCAATATATGC